TTTTCATTTCTCGGTGTAGATAGATGTAGATAGACTATTACCCACATACATATTGATTTTTCAAGCAGCTGGCTGTACACTGACGGCAGGTTTCGGAGGCCTATTTGCGGGTAATTTTGATGGGAAATGAAGGGAAATTGCTCCATTTTTTGGCCTCCGGCGGCGCCTCCAGCGGGCCCCTCCGCACCAGCCGGGGGGGGCCGCTTGGGCTCGCACAGCGATCTTCCGCGCCTTCGCTCGTCAGCTCGCTGCGCTCGCCACTAACGGCTCGCTTCGCTCGCTACTAATATCGATATCGATATCGATATCGATCACTTCACGGGCGATATCGTATCGAACCTATTATTGAATCAATATCCAACACTAATGGACGCCCAGAACGACCTGGGACGGCACGGCACACGCGGAATATGCAGCCGTCTGTCGTGTTTGTGCTCTCAGTGTGCGTGTGCGTGTTTTTTTGTCTGCGTGTTCACTGCTAGCATTGACAGCGGCAGCTGACGAATGAAAAGACGTCTGACTCGGTTGGCGGTCAAACGCTTCTCAAGAGGCCATGTAGAATGACCTAGGGAGGGACGCCGCCGTGACATTTTTTTTCATGTTTGTCGTGCCCGCTACAACGCAGGACCCCGCCGGCGAGTTCCGAAAAGTTTTCGTCTACGCCCCACCTTCTGCGGGACCTTCCGTCAACAAGATGCTCAAAGACCTGGGTTTGGACAAGACGTGGGACGCGGAGCCGGTTTCGTCGGGGACTCCGCTGCGGGAGAGCGGACTAACGACCATACTTGAGGCGGCGCTGGCGAGCGCGAGATCACGGGAGAGGTAAGAAGGGCCATCGGTGTTCCGCACAGACTGCCGCGGGTATTGTTGTCGTGGTGGTTTCGAACGACGACGAAAAGCGCGGGATGACGGGAGAGGTTAAAAGGGCGTCCGTAACGATGAAGCCGGCAGCGTTGTTGCTGGTCTTCAAATGACGGTTGTGTGTTGGCTATCACCCGCGGTAAGCTCGTACCTCTCCTCCACAGGCTACTGAAAACTAACGCCTGTTTGCCTCTGTTCGAAAGAGCTGCCGAACTCACATTTCCGTGTGTTGCCGCACCCCCACCCCCTTACCTCACCCGCGCCTGCTGGTTCTACCAGAGACGGGGCCGTTATTTTCGTGGGGATGGACACTCCGGAGTTGCCGTGGTCGGAGGTTGTGGCGGCGAGAAGCTCGGCCGAGAAGGATGGCAAGGCTTACATTTGCCCAGGTGGGTTTTTTTGCCTTGGCCACGACGTCAGCATTTAGTCGTGCCCGAAGTTTGTATCCGTGGTAGTAGGTAATTCCGCGGGACGAGGCCAAAAAATGGGAAAAAATCCTACGTGCCGTACGATATCAAAAACCCCGTGGACCGATTTTCAAAGCTCATTACTCCACGACGAATGGGGGAGTGTAAATCAAACGATAGGTGCTCGGAAAGGCTCTCGACGGCGCCTCCTTTATCGGCACCTCCACGCTTTCTGCTACAGCAGTATCGAGCTTTGAAAACCGGTATAGGGGTGTGTGGTATCTTGTTGTACCCCCTAGGGGAAGCCCAAGGCGTGCCTCCGTCTGCTGTGTACCGACTTGCTAAGAGCAAAGCCGCTATGTTGGTCGTTGGTCGAGTCCCGAGAGTCGTCAAAACAATGAAGGCGTTTCCCACGGCGGGATTGTTGGGGGGCGTGATGACGCGCAGGGGGCCACCTACCCCCACCCCCGGTTTTTGGGTTTTT